TGCCGATAGTAAATATCTTACATAAACCTTGTTTCGCAATCTGGATGAACAAAGCCCAACCGGGCTTCTTTTCTCTGGCGGACTGAGCGCTTTAATTATAAACAAAAACACCGTCCATCTAGGGTGGTAAGCACAAACTGAAGGTAATATCCCCAAATATCTGAATATTACTGGCTAGCGAGGAGGTTTGACCGAAATAATAGTTATGGCGAGCATGACGTATATGACAAATATCTCTGTTGGCATAGCACAACACGGTCAGAGGACGGACTTCAGGGTAACCGAGGTACAATTGCCACGGCTTTTGAGATGATTGCCGAACTACGAAAACAAAATGTGGTTAATAATTACTTAGATGTACCATTGTTTCTCTTGAATATTCCAAAACTGCTATTATACTCTAATCCTACCAGAGTTCTGGTGTTCCTTGCTGAAACAATATCAGGCTCAAACGTGGTTTTAGATTTGATATAAATATGCCTATTTGGGAACCTTTCATCTCGAGACTGTTATCCATGTAGTTCGTTGGGGCCGCTGAACTGAAGTTGTCCGTGGGGTGCTAGCACGGGGTTAGTTGGAAGACTAGCTACTTGCTCTGAGTACAAGTGTTCAGTCCTCAAGCCCAAACAGCCCACTTTTTTATTGTGCTTAGCTGTATTACGCCAATACCCCCACCAGGCTGGGTTTAAGACTAACCGCCACGCGTTAGCTAGGCGAAGAACCACATACTCCTACCTTTTTTTTATCGTGGATTAAAATGATTATGTATGAAATTTCTCGAGAATTACTTGCCCCTCAGTTATTGGAACTTTGAATCGTTCCGTTATCCTGTAGTTAGCACTGTTCTTAAACAAGTGAGCACCCGTTTGGGTACGGCTCGATCTCTCTCATGTCTTTTCAGGCAAAAGTACTGAAACAACACCTCTTCATTAATCATGAAATCTAAAAATACAGCCACAGCGGAAAAGTTCCTAAGGCCCAATCCAATTTCTTGAATAAAATTCATGTCGCTCAATGCTCTGGCAGTGAAAAAATTGTACCAGGGAAAACGTGGTAGGTGCCGATATATCGTGTAATTTATCTCCGCGCTTGGATATGTATGCATTTCGCTTAATCTCACCACTAGATGCCTGATTTCACACCAGCGCACCACTCAAAGCCCCTCGCAAACAACATCTATTATGTTTACAAAGTAGCGAATAAGGTTCTCAACAAAGTTGAGGGTAATGCTCAAATTCATGCCACTATTTTCTTTATTAACTTTAGTAGTCAGCTTTCAGGGAAGTATGACGAGCCACCCGGAAGTCTGAGGATGAGGCAAGTTGCTCTACTTTTCCTCCCGCACGAACTATGTACATAGTGTCTTTTCTAAGCTTGGAGGTCAGGTTTGCCCTCGAGATAGGAGAAAACAGCAAAAATGTGGAAACGGTCTGAAATGTTTGGGGGGAGTCAAACTGAACCGAAAGTGGAACATATAAAGGAAATCCGTTGTCTCAACCTAATGTATTGATAACAGAACATACGTGGTAGGATATCCGTCGCTCCTCTCTGTTATCTCAACTGGTCTATGCTGTGGGGTTAGAATGCGGGCAAGGTGAGTTGGCCTTGCCTGGGTGATGTAACCTACTCCTCCATCCCGCGTCGAGGATTAGTGGCCCAGTATGCTTTGTATTTGGAGCGGCCGTTTCCGGGTGCGACAGGTCTTGTAGCAGAGCTTGTTGTAGGCTGTCTCTATCCCCGTACGAAGTTTTCTCAGGTTCGGGTGCAGACTGCAGTTAGGCGAAAGGCAGCTTGGGTATGGGTGCCTCTGGTTCGAAGAGGCGCTTCCATCATACCCATGGGTCCTAGTCGGTTACTAATTCTCTAACGCACTGAATCACCGGTTCTGATGGCCCTGGCAGCACAGTATACAGAGAGGTCCTCTATCTTGTCTTCTAGTTGCTCTATTCCGACGAATCCAACTGCACTTTTTTTGATGGCGGCTTTTGTGTTAGGCGCTGGCGATTTTTCTCAGCGCTTGGTACTCCATGCTGACCAGTCTCGGGTCCGGGGCACCCGGGGAACAATAATTGAACATTCTCACCACGGGGGGGGGGGGGGGTCGTCTGCTATCATGCTTGGAACTACTTACTAAATGCTGACTGAAAGAAGCTTGAATCTCGAAAATTCACTCAGCGAACTATATCGAAGTACAAGGCCTTCTGCAAGTTAGTATTTAGCGCACATCATTTGTCATGTTATACCTAGAAATTCCGAAGCTAGGACTACTAGTCTAACCTCAAGATTAATCTACACTTTCGCATTTTCTTTCATCTTCATCATCACCACCATTGGGTTCTGATAAGATAAGACACATATACTGCTGTTGCCACCATCACTATTTACCACCATTCAGAACCACGTAGCCATATCACACACTGAGTACTCATAACCCTCCTAACACCGAGCAGACTATCTTATCACGCCAGAGATGAATGGCTTTTCATACCAGTAAAGGGAAGAATCAGTGTTTCAATCCACTTATTAGGAATACACATGATTCTCGGCCAGCACCGAATCCGAAGAATTCCAGGGCCAGAATCCAGGCTTCATGCATAATAAAATACTACTTAGATATACAGTAATATGAGCACTACTAGTGCGTCCCCCACCCCTACGCAATCCAGTACTCTACTACGTTTAAAGGGATCAATTATACTACTTTGCTATATTACCAAGAGCAAAGAACTTGTCCCTAATCATTGTCTGGCAAAATCCTCGTTCTGGGTTTTGAGACTAGACCTAACAGGGTAGCCACTTCCTAATCAGGAGCAAAGGTATCATGTATTCAATAAAAAGGCAAGACTCCTTGCAACAGGGGCCAACTAAAGCCATGGTGGGGTGTTCTGATGACCGCCTAAGAACTTGTAGATTTTGATTTCATTTCTCGCTGTGATATACTGTTAAGGGAATATTGCAAATAGTTTTGCGCATATAAGCAGACTCTTACTATCATTGGGGAAGCGACAGATGAACCCCAACAAACTTGACACTCCTCCATATAACCCAAGATAAATTCGGTAAAAGATATTAACATGCTCAAGTGGTACCGGTAGACTACACTGACTATATGGAACCTGCTCTACACTATGTGCATACTCAGCATATGCCAAAAAAAGGCTATATACATACCAGTATATAGTGCTTAAATCAAAAATACACCCAACACCCCCTCTTGTGCATATACTATATTGAAATCACTTATTCTATCTAGAATTACCTTGATAGATATCTAAAGATTACTCAAGGTATATATCTATGAGCATATGCAAAAAGACAAGTGTCATAACCTCCATTAAATGGTAAGTGATCACTTACACCAAAAAACTCCTGAATTTGTAGAATCCACTTTTCCTCGTCTATTTCTACCTCATCTAACTCTTCAAAGTCATGGTAGATAGACCTCTATATTGATGTCAATTATTACTTGTACTCTCCCCCTATCATCTCCACTAGCTACCTTTCCCCCCCCCAACAACCTTCGGCTAGGGGGGGCTTGAGGCATTTTGGGCTTGGGAAGTCCGCCAGGTAATGCAGCATTACATGCCACCTTATATTCTGCATCATGCATTGCCTTTGCTTCATTCGCCATTTTCTTAGTAGCAGCTCTCTCAGTCCTTTTTTATCAGCAAAATGTGCAAGCTGATTTCTAGTCTTATTTGCACGTTGATTCGGGGCTGATTTGGGACAGTGGTTTCTAGCTTGATTTTGCTGTGCCTTTTCAGGTGGATTCTGGCAGTAATTTGGCGATAGTGCTGTATCTAGGCACTGTACTATATAGGAAGAGCATAAAAATACTTATTTTGGAATGCATAAAATGTAGGTGCTGTAAGAAGTAAGCGCGCGCACGCCTACACTAAAAGACCCTTCGCGTTGGAATAGGAACTGAGATCAGAAAACCGCATGATGTTTTGAGTGCGTACAAGAAGCAGCTGAGTACAATTGTTACATCAGGATTGCATCATGTAAATGGAGCTGTATCAGGAAATACGAATTGGTAAGCTTTGCGCCAGGAAATGCGAGGTAAGAAAGGTTTGCGTCATGAAGAGACTAGGATGAAGTCTTGCGTCATGTACCGGAGTTTTGTAATATGTATGGTGCTTACTCACATATACCCGGTTTGATTGTTTTACCACTTCGAAGTTGCAGGAGAGTGGCCGATCTGTTCTAAATATCTCGGTATTTGTTAACCTTCTGAACCATAAAATTGGTACATACTCAAAGCTTCTCTTTAAGTACTACAATCCCACCTATACCAGCTGGAATTTCGGCTTCGACATTCTGTAGCAATCTGCTGCATCCTAATAGGAATATCAGCAGCCTGGTAGGTTGAAGGTTTTTTTTTTTTTTTGGGCGANGCTCTTCGGGGGGGGGGGGTGGGGGTTGCTGGTATAATGCTCGATGTGTGTTTCGCCTAGGTAGATAATGAATGGTGATCCTTCACTCAATGCACTGAGTACCTATCTCATGTCCTACGGGCTTATCATTCTCATTTTATTGTTATTATGCTCACTGAGTACATTTTGTGCTATCCACTGTAGCAAATCCCGCACAAGCGGAAATCCGCAATCTGCCATCAGCTTACAGTACTCAACAATAGCACCCATTCTCTGATGCAAGTAAACTGCTGCTGGTCTCGATGTGCTGCTGCCCTCCGAGAGACCTTAATACTACGACCTAATGTTACTGGGTGAACCCCATATTTGCGTGCATTATGAGCCTGTGACTTATGGGGTTGCCTCCAACAATAACTGCATCTTAGACTATGGTTATTGTGCATTGAGTGGACACGGAGGGATGGTCATGGCAAACAGGGATATCCATGCATTTCGCTTCCCCCTTATATTTCGCTTCCCCACTAATATTGTAAGGAGTATCCAATCTATCTATGCGCATAGGTACGCTCGAGGAGTCAAATAGACATTCATTCATTTCATAAAGGAAAAAAAAAAAGGTTTGACTGCTCACACTGTGATTCGAACACAGGATCTCGTCATTACTAGTGACGCGCTTTACCAACTAAGCCATGCGAGCCGGTATAGCATAAAAATTTGCGAAAGTTGAGTATAATGCAGAACCTTTCAGCACCACTCGGAACCCCATAAATCTTCAAATTCAATGACACACTTTCTCCGAGCCTGGCCTCCACCCTCGAATTGAATGCTCTCCAGATAGAAATATGTCAAACATCTCATGATTGGTACAGAGTACTACCTATAGATTTTTTTTTTGGTCAAACAAAAGCAAGAAGCATCAAAAGTTCCTGCGGCTATGTTTAAAAGTTGAACCAGACCCCCAAGTTTAGTACCAACGGTCCTAGACTGATTTGCACGGTGATTGCCCTCCGAATTGTAGGTAGATACAGGTATTATACTATTAGGTATAGCCAAATCACCCACAATAGTTGCACGTTTTACTCACCGAATTTGTCCTTCTGCAAATTCTTTGTATGTAGAAATCGTCTGCTCACCCCGCGTGCTCCCCTGTACACTTCCCACGCTATATTTTTCAAATGATCCACTGGCTTTATTACAGTGTTGGTACTCCCTCAGACAGCCATTTTCTGAATTTTCTCCTAACAATTTATTAACTAATTCTTTAATTTGATTTAAATCTAAATCTTTTCTTTCTTTTTAAGTAAATAAAGTAAATAGCATTAGCAAATGCAGTGTCATGCGTGAGATTAAGTCGATGTAGTCCAGCGGCCACATATAGAATATTGCTATCGGCATTGTCAAAGCTACTAAGTATATGGTAGCCAACCACGTGAGTATGTGATGCAGTTTTTCATATATCTCTGCTATACACTACCTAGTTAAGGAATAACTATTTCCTGCCGCTTGAAAATAGACTGTTGAGTCACGCTCTATATGTTTCTTGGTGCATACTACAGAGTTATAGTGCACCGACCCAGGATCTATATAATTATCGACCCATTATCAATAAGAAACAGACGAACCAACGATGCGTTGCAACAGCCAATATAACTTGAAATTTAACAGCGTCATCGCAAAATCACAGACCCTTTAAGTCACTCCTCCTCATCTTAACATCCCTCCCACTTGTCCCATATTAACTCTCCTCTGCCTATGGTTATTTAAATGTATTTCTAGTATCCATAATCTCATGAAGTCTGTACTATCCTCGGTCGAGCTTAGTGCTAGATCTACCTATAGTGTGATTTAAAAATATATTTGTTACAAGCCGGTTTGGAGAGTATGCTGAGCCCGGATACTACAATCAGCTGGCCCTACATGATAAACCGTCGAGGACAGGGTTCGACTGCAAAAACAAGAGGGGGAGGAGGGATGACGTACGGAGTGGCATGCGCATGCATAACAGGAATTGCCTCGTATATTAGGAGACATAAAAGCAAAACAAACGTCAAGGACAGGATTCGAACCTGCGCGCCCAGAAGGCATCCGCTGACTTCCCTGTAAACAGGGATAGCAGGCGAACGTGTTAACCACTCCACCACCTTGACTTTCTTGAACTATTCCAAGAAGCATAATTATAACAGAGTAAAACTCAACAAATATTTGCGATTGTTAAAGTTAAGATGTCAACGTAATTATTTGCATGCAATTCTCTTGATGGGATATATAGAACACTATCAATAATACGTGCTACACCAATCGGTTCAGAGGTGGGGGCTCGGAAACCAGGCTATGGACTCTCAAAGCCATAAACAACGTTCTCCATACACAGATAGCTTGGTATGAAGAGTATAGCTACAGTGGAACCTACCATATTAGATTCCCTCGAGCGCTATTGGATATCATCTTCACTCGCACAGCAGCACCCTTGCGGGTGGTTCATGTACTTTTGTGCCCAACGCCCTCCATTCTCCAAGCCGCTGAGAAGCCATCGAGGCCCAATCTCTTGAGGGCTGCTTCCTCGACAAGAGACAGCTCCTTGACCTACCAGACTACAGTGCTGAGATAGGGGGGTTCGCAGGCTACCGCCTCGAGGGCCTATGTCTCACAAGCTAATTATAGTATCTTTCGGTGCACTCCTAGGGTGGTTGGTAGTCATTTAAGAGGAACGGCTGAGTTGGACGAGATTCCGTCTAAAAAATGATATTGTTTTGCCTCTCGCAGTCATAGTCGTCCTCAATTTGTTTCTTAATCGGTAGAACCACCCTCTTTGCTAGCGGGGCCGTGAGTTATATTGGGTTGGGTTATCCAAAGTTATTTAGAAATGTTGTTGTTTTCATATCTAAGTAGATACATACAAGTACATGTTTGGTGGGCTTAACGCATCCGGGTTAGGCAAAAGGGGGATTAAGCGATATTTTACTGACATAGACAGAAAACAAGATAAGTTGTGTATGCCCAATCAGCTTTGGGGAGAGGGGGGTTCTTTCGTAAACGCAGTAAAAACCAAATCTCCTCGCACCAGTATGTCAGCGGGGAGCATCTACACCAGCAAGTCACAGCACCAATCAGTCCATACCATACAGATTCCCAGAGAAACAAGCAAACTTTTTCTCCCTCCAAAAACCAAAGACACAATGTAGATAGATATTGAGCTCCGATTGATATCCCTGGTGCATCCCAACTGCAAGAATCTAAACCCCACATGATAGAGTCTATGATACCCACCCAGCTTAGGAAGTTTTTATTGTAAGTCTGGTTTAGTTTTGCGTAGCAGAGGGATTAGAAATATACATTTCCTTAACATCCATCAAACCACGAACTATACAAAGGGTAATGTGGAAGGCATTGTGTTGGGGGGGGGGGAGCACAGCAGAAGTCGACCCAACCCTATAACCCCGACTAATACCTATTTTTCAGCACTCTATAAGCACAAAATACCACTAAAAGAATAATCCACAACTACCCAACCCCCCCATCCCTATCTCCACATAAAACAAAACTTTCATTATCCTCAGCCCACACCCAGCAGTTGAGGGTAAACTCTCTCACCTTGAGTATCACGTGATAAGCTCTGGCAACCCCCCTCAGCCCGCAACAGCTAATTTTAGTAACCTAGGCCGCATGGCCTGACGGCCTTTCAGCCATCTCATCTCCCATGTTATCTCTACATTTGGCAATTTCTCCCCAAACCTCCCCCTAAATCCAGATTTCGACCCTCCGTTGCGATCGATTACGTTATGCTTACTTACTTACATTCCTCGTGACTGTGGAGCATGATGTACGTACGTAGGTATTTCCATGCACTAACGTAAAATGTATGGTGTCATCAATACCGAATATCAAATGTTTCCACCCACTACCCCACAACGAAAATTCACATCACGTCATATAGCTGGAGACCGGTCTTAACTCTCCAATCCACGTGTCCCCAAATGGGTATTCTTTGTAAGTTTCTTTGTTATTTCTCCCATTCTCTGAGCTACTACTAAGCTTCGCCCATCTATATAAATCCTCCACTAACAAAAAAAAAAAAAAAAAAACTATTCACCCATTCCTCATTCATCGTCCCCTAATCGTCTCCAAATCTTCCTGCGCAAAAAAAAGTGTATCCATCCACACCAAACCAACCTCTCTGTCTTTCATCCTGCCCAATCCAGGGCCAGGAAAACCCACCGACACCGAGATAAGTTGCCTTTTTTCCTCCATTCCAAAACGAAGGTAAGAGAAAAAAAAAAAAAGAAAGAAAGCCAAAAACACCCGCCCTGTCCTCCCCGACCAGCCCAAAAGCCAACCGAAAAGCAAGCCAAAACACGCCGTAACTAAATAAAGATATAATCCCAAAAAATAAACAAAAAACAAGAGATATGTATAAAATATCTGATCGCAACTCCCGGTATCCCCTCCCCCTGTATTGTATGCTTTCGTGCGAGCCGTATTGCGTGCCTGAAAGGACTGGTCTAGTACTGTAGTATGCCGTACCGTTTATGTGTATGTGTCTAAATGAATGTCTCGTTTATCGAATGTAGAATGAGTGACTGGCCATCTATCTGATGATGCTGGATGCTGTTTTTTAGTACCGATCTATCGCAAATGAGTGTAATGATCTATCGATAGATTTTATAATGAATGTCGTGACGTGATTGTATCTGTCGTGATTTGTCGTAACGGCTCTGCTATGCCTCTCCGCAGCGACTCCCTCCGATGGATGCACGCGCAGTAATGATTGTAAGAATACAAGACAAAAGAAAGTGTCATAATAAGAAACTCAAACTCAAAACACCGTATCCCAAGGAAACAAGCTAAAAAAACCACAGCACAGAAAAAAGCCTCCATGAACAAGTCCGGTAAAATAGCTTAAAAGTCGTTTTGATTTCTACCATTCACCGGCGTGTTGTAGTAAAACAGGCGTATAAGAAGAAATTCGCAAATAAAATTCGTTGTCCAAACATGAACAAGAAAATGCATCAGATGTCATATATGGATACAGGGACCGTGAAGAAGATGTGGCTGGTCTATATCTCGGTATTCATAGAGTGATAGATCTTTTTCGTATGTAGATGGCTGAGTAAGAGGGCATGCTGGCAGGTTGAATCTGTGGGATAGACTGAGGTTACGATTTCCGTACCTTTGACCTTCCGAACTTCCTCCCCATCTTCACGAGGCTGATCCGGATCCATACGACAAATCCTAACCACCTCTTCTTCAACTCAGCACCCTTGTTCTTCTTCTCCGCCGCCCACCCGGGTTGCGCCCCAGCACCGGATCCCATATCCGACTTCTTTCCCGTGCCGCCATTTGCCTCCGCAGAACCAGGTTTCGAGTATCCCAGCTCCCGGGGTTCCGGCACAGAATCCTCCTCACGCTCCATCTTCTCCCCCATCTCCTCGGTCCACACGGGAACCATCGTCGGCGGAGAAGACCTCGAAATATCCTTGCTGCTCCTGCTCTCGGCCTTCTCCCTCTCTTTCTGCTCACTTTTCCGACGCTTCTCCTCTCGCTTCTGCTCCTTGTGTGCTTCCTTCGCATCCCACGCTAATCGTGCCGCAGTAACGCTAGCTGCAAAGCTCGGCGACGGCTCGCGGGTAGTTCCCCCGCTGCCAGAATGTGTTCTTCGTGCGGATGGACGGAGAAGAGAGCTTGAGGTGTAAGAGGTGG